GCTTATACTATTTTTATTGAAACAAACAACTTTAGAACCTTAGACTACCCCTTTGTTTTATTGAAAATCACATTTCAAAGTATTCAAAAACTTTTTAAAATAATCGTCTTTATATTAATTTTCATTTCGTAGTAGTAGTTAATTCATAGAACGCCAATAATTTAATCAATCCTATCGGAAAACACCCCTTCTATTAAAAAATTTCACAAGACAGAATTTTATAATTCAACCAGGTTACCGGCATCTCTATTTATTGTAAACCTCATTGTACAAAAAGCATAAGTGAAGCAGTTGTGGTAATTTATTCGAATTTTTTGACGTGCAAGCTATCAAAACTTTTATACAATTTACTTGACTAAAATGATTATGCAAATACAAAAACATATCCATAATTATTGTCTTCAGCAAGCAGTTGGTTTCCAAAAGTGTATTACAAAAGTTGTTGAGACATTTGGTTGGTCCCAGTAGAACAGTTCACTGACTGTCCTGGTTCAAGAACTTATTTGTTTATTACAAAAGTTATTGTAGTTTGAATTGCACGAAAAACATTGATAAAAAGCATTGTAACAAATACAATTAAAAAAGAATAGTAATAGTTTGTTTGAAGTAAAAGTTTTCGTTTTTCATTCGCAGCTGTATTTAAACAGTAAAATAATAACTATACACTAGTGGCAAATTATTTATTTATTATTAACGGAATATGGGGATTTTGTATTACGCTTTGTTCAAAACATTTTGAGAGTTCAGTTAGTTTTTAGAGAAGCAGGAGATATTTTTCAAATTGACAAAGTTGGAACAATATATTCCACACCCCATGTACAAACTGCTAGAGTTGACGATCGGGTGAACTTTGGCCCAGCAGTGGGTTGTCCAAATTTGGCTGAACGAAGTTCATTCAAGGTTGAACCAAGTTAGGCATACAATTGATCTATCAAAAATGGGTAGTTTTGTCTGTCCCAGATCTAGACCAAAGTTGACTATATTACTTTCGGTTGATTAATCTTGGGCCAGCTTTGGATTAACTTATATTGACCGGGAACTTATTTTCTATTCTAAAATTAATAAAGACGTTAAAAGTACTGTTCAAATAGTTGATTTTGAAGAAAAAGGAGAAATTATTTTATGATAATATCTGAATTATATTATTTTATCATTNAGAAATTATTTTATGATAATATCTGAATTATATTATTTTATTTATTAGTAAGGATTATTGAACTTGGACTGAAAAATGATTAATAAATATCATCATTGATAATAATTAATAACAATCTATCTGTTAATCTCTCTGGAGCTCCAGATCGTGACCGTGGACGATCTAAGCGGTCAGCAAAGAAATAAAAATGAATTATTATAAATATTTATGGAATCAATTGTATTCGTCTTTTTATAATTCAAAATAAACAATTATTTTGTGTTAGTTATTTAAAATAATTGTTTATATATAGTTTATTTACAAATTTTATTCCCTGGACCATCTTTGATTTTAACTTTAGGACACATCTTTGGGATTTATAGCTGGTCCAAGGTAGTATGCCAAGCCAGGCCCGATGTTATCATTCGGTAGTTCAACCATATCTGTATTCAGCTTTGTCCCAGAGCTTATGACTGGCAAGCCAACTTTGGCCCCACATCTAACCCAATCGTACTTTCCTACATGAGACTTTTACCAATATATTTTGTAAAATGCAGTTTGCTCTCGCTTCGCTCAGAAAAAAATTAGTTATCGTTCGGGAACGTTCTTGAACTTCTAGAAAATTCTAAAGCATTTTCAAACGTTGTAGATGCAGGTCATTTAAATCTTTGACAATCTGTAACGTTCTGACTAGATGCCGAAACTCAATTAACACCTTTACTGACTCTCTATACGGAGTTCATTTGGGTGATAGCCTTTTAACCCCATATCTTTGAAAATAATCCCAGCACCTAAAAACCTAAACGTTCTTCATGGACAGGGGATGGTAGACTATCATACCATATAACCCTCACGAGGCTGCAGGATTCAGTTAAAGAGCTTTAGCAGTACACACGAACTAAAAATGGGCCACGTACCTAGTTTGGATCCAGTACCAGTAACAGTTAAATTTTTTTTGTCGCTAGTTGGTATAGGAGATTTTGATTAACGATAACTTATAAATAAAACCTAAACCTTCTTCATGGACAGGGTATGGAAGACTATCATACCATATAAACCTCACGAGGCTGCAGGATTTAGTTTAAAAGTTTTAGCAGTATATACGAACTAAAAATAGGCCAAGTACTCGGTTTGGATCCACTACCAGTAACATTTAAAATTTCTGTCGCTAGTAGGTGTAGGAGGTTTTGATTAACGATAACTTATAACTAACTATGACTTTGTCACTTTGCAGACTTTTAGTGTTTATTAATATTGCAGGCTCGTTTCAACTAAACCCTCTCCTTGAAAATTCGTCAACCAAGAATTAGAATTTCAAAACTATTCAAAAGCAGTTGATGTCGTTTGGGACGTTAGTTAGGGTGATATTTATTTATTACATGTGTCGATAGAAAAAAATGCCCACAAAAAAATGTGTAATATCTATGTTTGGTGAACGTTTTGCTTTACCTGTATAAGTAAATAAGTATACAGTATTTCAAATTTTATTGACTTAGTTTATCTTTACTGTTTGTGATTTAGTTGACCTACTTTGAGGGTCAATAATGCGTTTAGTGCATGTACTTAAGGTTCCCATTATCTACCAGACGTAAAGCAACTTTCTATTTTTTTCTCATAAACAGTGTCACAGGTGAAATTACGTTTCAGTTTAGGCCTTCTTCTTGTTGACTGATGAGATTTGGTCAGGCACGTACTTTGAACTATGGCACCTACCAATTTCTTCTATGCGTGAATGTTTTCTTATCGTATGTATACGCACTAAGTGCGTATTTACACACCCACTCGTACCTGTACCTAATCAGGAATCAAGTGCTTTTGGTGCATGCATGAGAGCGGAAATATACTTGTCATAAAACGTTTAAGTGAAAGCTGTTAAATGTTAACGTTATACCGGCTTGAAGGGCTTGTATATAATGGGTATTTTATATGTTATGTGTAAATTAGAACGTAGAAAGCTTTTCACTTTTTGAAATGGTACCTCCTATTCAATTTTAATAATGAGTCACATCAGTATTAAATTTCCATATGTAACTGATGTTCAATATTTTGGTAGGAAACTAACTAATTAATTAAATTGAAGTGCAAATAAATTAAATCAAAGTGCATTGCACTTTTATTTTAAACTATATCAGGTATCCAATTCAAAAACCTTCTATTTTAAATAATTTAATTTGATTCATCCATTACAACTGGCACTTCTTTTTTAATTTGTGACATAATGGCTGCTAGTGACCGCCATATTAATTATTTTATGACTTCATATTTAGCATAGTTTATCTGACTTATATATATGTTATATGTACAAACCTCAAAACAATATTAAACAATTTAACAATCAGATAACGCAGAATGCCCCTGTTAGAGAAGCTAAATATGATACTTTAGATAATTTATTAAAAGTACTTTTTAAAAAATTTTTAGCCATTCCCGGGTTAAAAACGGTTTCAGTTTTTTTATGTGCTATTTTCGCTGGAAAAAAGTATCATGGGGACTCGACTCGAGCAACTGGTACAGTTTTATTGAAGTAAGGAAAAGGAAGTAATAAATGAATTTATGTGACCAAAATATGAAAATAATATAGAAAATGAGATGAGAATATAAGTAACATAAAGGAAAACTTGAATTTAGAAAATAGGTTGGGGACAACACTCACACAAAAGTAGTGAG